CATCCTTACAGTATATACTGTATATGACCAATACCATAGACAATAGACTGTAATCTGAGAAAGTTATATGCTAAAACCTAAAAGGTCAGGATTACAGCCTCACTTTGACATGTCTTTCTAATACAAAAATAAAGCTGTGACAATGAATGGTTTTTGAGCAGGGAGACAAAACTTTGTTGGACTTTATAGTGTTTTATGGTAATAAAGAACTCTGACAATAAGCATCTGAAGGACAAGAATACAGTATATAGTATGCTTTTTTAGGATGGAGACACACATGTTCAAAGGAAACATTATAATGAAAAGCAATCTCAAATGTATGAATATAATGTAAATACACATCTCTTTGGGTTTTTTTATTCAGCATGACTGTCATCCTAGAACAGCCTCTGGCTGCAAGGAGCTTTGAAGACGCATGAGAAACCTGGAAGGGTAACATTAACAATCTCATTTTATAGTACAGTATAATTCCTGTTACACTTGTACAGTACAGTCAAATCTTTTGCTAGCCATATTGTTTACAAAAAAGTTTTCACAAATATTTTTATATCTGACTGGGAAACAATTCCAAGACCCCACTAATGAAGCATTGTAAAGATTTATGTAGAATCCTAGTAATATACCTCTCCATAACATTTGCTCTCCTACAGCATCGACCAGCTATTTTTATCTGGCTTGAAAAATAAGCCACACAGTGTAAGCAGAAACAAATTAAAAATGAAACATGAAAGGCACAACATGGGTGATTCAATGAGCAAAACAAAAGAGCAGGAAAATGAAGATGATATACAGTTCTCCTTAATGCAAAATGTATTAAGGATACAAAACGGTAACATTGAGTTGGTAATGATCAGTTCTCCTTTTGTAACTCAGGAGTTCTCTGTTGCCCATAGAACAAAGGATAATTAATGGCAGAATCAGTAAGAACTTGGAAAAACTGTAACTGCAGAAATTCCATGTACACCAACTAAGTGGTAAACACAGGCAAAAAAAAAAACTCCTCACTACATTTGATCAATGTAATTTCTTTACTTTTAATTCTAAGATATTAGGATGGACATATGAAAATGACAGAAAAGCAAGCTACTGTATCCTCAACAGTACCCGTAATTGTACTGAAGACACAATTGACATGCTAATCACAATTTATTTCCCCTGATAAGTAGAAAATTCAAAAGCAGAGAGATTGAAGCCCAGAACTAAAGACCTTACTTGTGGGGGCAATTAGATTCTCTAGCAAGAACCACTTTTTTTCTTTTGCCCTGACTACAAGGCATTGATCAGTTTTGCTTTTCCTTAAAAGTATAATTTGACATCATTCAAAGCAATGCCAGGAAGTTCTCTCTGTTTGGAGTTTACACAAACTGTCAACACTAATGAGACCAGGCAAGTCTGCCTATCCCTTGTTAGCAGAGAGGCAGCTCACACTACAGTTGTGCAGGGCTTCATCTATAAGCTTTTCCCGTTTATCCTACAAGGAGAACTGCTGATGCAGATGGAACAATCATACAGCCCACTCCTCCAGTGAAGCTTTGCATAAAGTAGGCAGAATATAAATTAACTGGGCCTCTTGCAAAGAAAAGGCAGAGACACAAGAAATTGAACCTGAGAATAATGTTTCATGTAACATATCTACAGTAGATAGTACAAATACACATACTGTATGTACTGTATATGCACACAAGTGCACAATTACAAATCTCCAGCAATTGACCTCAGTGGTCCCAGCATGTTTTCTTCTAGCCATGTTAAAAGGGTAAGCAATAAATTAGCTTTTTATTTCCCATTACCATGCAAAAAAAACTGTGTCCAATTCACCACACTTCTGCACTCCCTCAAGGCAGTGCAATAGGTGTGTAGTATTTCACTACGGAATTGCTTTCTAACATTTAGAGCAATGAGGGCACTTCCTATGTCATGTACTTGACAGGAAAAGGCACTTCAATAAGAGTTCTCAACAGCAACACTACCATAAAAAAAAGCAAAGACCCTTAGGGGCTCCCAGTGGAATGAAATGTTTACATTCCCAGCACAGACACGTAAAATATTTGCCTTTATTGATGTTACATCCTGGATTTTAAAACATGAAGCTCAAATGAAATCATGCAATCAATCAGTCAGATTAAAACAGGCGCAGAGACTGTTATATGACCTTATGTGTTTATCTGTGTGTGCTTCTATAAACTGAATTTGCTATATACTGTACTTAATGCAATCAATGTACTACAATAAGAAATACATTTAAAAAGTCAAATGAATTCCTTTTGTATTTTTAATATTGTTCTTTAATATAATTGTGTATTAAATGAAATCCAAAATACAATATAACATTTTAGTTGTCTAGTCAGCAATATATTATTTAATGACCTAAATGACTTAAATTACCAAAACTGCAATAAAAGTAAAAATGGGAAAGAAAATCACATTTAATGCTATAAATCAAACAGATGGCAAGGCACTCACTGAGCTCTGGTGAAATAGCTTGGAGATCACTTCTATTGTAGTTTTGAATGGAAGACTTTCAGATAATTGAATTCAAACTATATTACTTCAATGGTTGTAAACCTTGCCATGAAATGAGAATCTCACAAATAAAAGAGGATTTTTTTTATTTTAGATGGAAACAATAAGTGCAGTTCTGTTGGTCACTAAAAATCCTAAAAAACAGGTACAAAGCACTTTTCGAACAGCAGAGCATTTTGACACATAATGCCATTACAAAAAGACAAATGTTTAATGAAAAGGGATGATAATTACTAAAAAAACAAAAACAATGTCTATCACAAACTTCTCTGTTAGACAAATGAGGTGTGAATTTATGATGGATCTACTGTGAAGCCTGAAAAATAACTTTCACTTTTATTTCTCCCTTTTCAAAAAGGATTAATGCAGAATTTTACTTTACTTGTGAGTTAAAAATGTATATATTGGAGGGCATTAACTTTAAAAATATATATTTTATTGCATGTAAACTAAATGCAGCATAAACATAAATACGGGATTTTTACATAATATTATATCTTTTGGTGTAAACATTATTACTACAGTTAATGGGTCATGAACACTGTAACTGGCTGTGAAGTAACTGGAACGCTCCCTTAATCTAGAAGCACATTTCTTTCCTACTCTTTTTTGTTTGCTACAAGATTAACTTTAGCTTTCATGTTTGCCCTTGCCCCTCATAAACTTTTTTGTAGCTCTATTACAAAACAGGCACAGTTTCTATCACGGAAATGTGGTGCCTTACCATTTTTATCTCCTTGATAATGTTAAAAGCACATTGGATCAAAAGCTTCTCGTAATACAGCCATTCACAGTAAAACTAAGCCTTCCACAGAAGGTTTACTATGATGGCTCTTGGGAGTGCAGGATCAGTCTAAACCTGAAGCATAAAGTACATAATACAACACTAGCATTTTCATAGATAAAAATATTACATATATAATATCTAGAAAATCTATTCTTAGAAAATTTGGTTAGCATTGATTTAATTTTAGTGAAATGCATAAACACAGCTTTAAAAAGGCACTTCAAAGGCATGGATGAAAGCAGGCAAGATCCAATTCACCCATGCTGTTCAAACCCCTAGACAACGTGCCTTTTAGGAAAAGTGGTTTGCAGAAGTGAAACAGAATGGTAGAGAAGGAGACACTTATCTAAACTGTGAGATTCCAGGAAAATCTGATCCTAGCTTGATCTTATGCATGCTGGGGGCCATTTTGTACTTGAGATGTGTTCAAAAATTGTGTTTTGTGAAGCTGGTAATTTACAAGATAATGGCATTCCGACTGCTACGCTAATGAAATATTAACAGCTTTTAAAAGAAACCCGTAAGCTTTCATATTTAGTAAAAACCCTGGAAACATTCATTCATTGCTATTATGCTCTTTGCTACAGCTTCTTTTCTTTGCTTCCTTTAGAGTTAGAATCTTGATATTTGCCATTTCTTTTATAAATTGCCAATAACATCAAAGCCAAAAGGCCCAATGCAAATATAATGTTATAAAATACAAAATTTTACTTTTTAGGTTTCCATTGCCCTTAAACATTACCTTGATAAACATAAACAAAAAATAAATACTGTACCATATAAATATGGGAATATAAATGGGAATGTAAAACTTTTAAAACCCATATATCTTTTTACAGAAAAATATTTTTGTCACCTTCCAAATAAATTGACAGAAAAGGTATATGAAGAAAGCAATCCTTTCATTAAATAGTCTTTCCAGATGTGCAAAAAATCCCTTTCATGGAAACATGATAAACTGAATTAAATTTATAATACATTATAGTACAGCGCCTAAGAAGTAAATAAAAAATACAGTTGGTAATTGGCTCTTTATTTCCCTATAAACTCTACATTTGCTTATAACTGAAATTACTTAATTCCTTTTTGGAGGGGAGAGCATCATACAATTATCATAATATAGTGCTTTTCTGGGCTCAGTGAGAAGGTTAAGATGCTGTTACTGTATGTGAACATTTGGACTTTTGAGATTGACCAATCTCAAAACTGGCAAATCATGATTTAAGAGCAATTATTAATCATATATAATTATGACATAACAGCAATATAGCATAATAACAGCAATTATAAATCATAATTATAAATGTCACACCTTCTGGTCTACAGTATATACTGTATGGTAGCAGATGAGGGATGTAATCTCTATTGTAATCTACTGTACTGTATAATGTTTAGGGACTCCATTTACTGGTTTACTTGTGAAAGGTCCACATTTCTAAAATTGCATACTTTTTTCTGACTGTTGAGCAGAACTTGGTTGAAAAGAAAAAAATACACCTAAGGATTTGATTGAAGTTGGTTCTTTCTTAATGGGGAAAAAGTGAGCATATTTTATCAAAATCTCAAGAATTAGATCAGCCTTCCTTAGTAAGGAACAGGAAAGGGATGAGGTTTCAATGTACATTTGATTAAAATCCCTGGAGCTTCTCTTGTAGTAATTAAATGTCTTTAATGCAGTGAAAAGCCTCACCTTCCTCTTGTTTGTTGGGCACACATAGAGATAACTCAGCACCGTTTTCAGTCCAACTTTGTCATTCATTTTCTCATATGTTGTTCCATAGTCAGTTGATCTGAAAATAGAAATAGAACACCAGGTTATTTTTTTAACCTAGAAATATTTATTGTGACTCTGGGATATTATTAGAGGGAATTAAGTCAAAGCCCATCCTGTTTACGAATGTCTTCATTTTACCTCCCTCCTCCGAATGTTCAGTAAGCTCAGGATCATGTGTAATAAGCATTCAAAAGAGCATCATATTTCTATTCATATAATTATGTAAAAACTGATGCAAAGCCGATACAGTTACAAATTGAACCCACTGGGCATATAGCAGTGGGTGTGGATTTTGAGGCCTGTGTGCCAATGGATTATGGCTGAGAATCAACAAAAAGGTTTAGCTGCCCAGCCTCTTGAAGCTCCTACAGTCTTAACTGTTCCAATAGGAGTCATTTGACTCATGCAATATATTGTAAACAAGTTAAAGCAAAGGAATTCCCTTTATCTTACTATCTTTACCACATTTTAAACACACTGCTGATACGCATTACATGGTTCCAATTCTTAAACATTAGAATACAGTTCAACACCAATATAGGTGCCATATACAGTATCATGCATTCCCATCCTCAAATATCAATCAGATTATGAAGCAAGTTGGATAATTTACATTTTAGGTATAATACAAATAGAACAAACTAAAGGGCTGGTCTAGACAAAAAACAATGTCATATTATCAATTTTCACCACCGCAAATTAAGACTTATCACAGAGAATAGAGAATAAAGTATAGAGTCCCGCTGTCCATCCAGAATGGCTTGTTACAACAGTTTTTACACCAGAACAGAAAGGTTCAAAACAATTTTTGGAAAATAAACTCAAGCACCTATTATAGCATGCTGGAGTAGTGAAAATGTTGCCAAACAGAATGCATTCTCATTCCCTTTACAAATTGAAGGTCCTATTCCAAAATGTCTGGAAGATTTGGTAGTGGAAATAAAAAAGACATTACAGAACCACAGATACCATACACTAAGCAGAAAAATCATTTCCATAATTTATACAAGTATTTGATGTGAAAATTGGAATGCAAAACAAGGAAAGAACAAAATGTTTTTGTATTTTTAGCTGGTGAAATAATTCAACATTTAATTTTAATTTCCATACTGCTATGGACATGTACGGTACCAACAGAAGAATCATAGCATATCTGATAAGAGCTTAAAGAAATGCTTTATTAGCCCAGACAAATAATATGCAAATACACAGCACAGATGATAATTTCTGACTGACTAAAGTTATAAATAAAATATACTTACAGTATATTTTATTAGTATGCATCTATTTTACTTTGGACAGTCATTTGAAGGTATTCTACGTTTTGTGTTTCATCTCAAGGGTTGACATTTAATTTACAGTTCAAATAATTATTTTTAAAAAAGAAGTAGTACCAATTAAAAGTTCACAGTATTTTTTTTCTTTTGCACTTTCAGGAAATAGACTTTAGTTTCTGAAAATGTACTTGGAATTCTCCTTGAACAATTTATTTAGCTGTTATTGAGTTAGAAGATTAACACTTAAAAGTAAATCTGTAACACTGAATGGGAGAAATAATATTGTGAACTAATGGACCAAGCAAGCCTGATACAGAGCTTTAAAAAGCAAATTACTGATCAGCACAGCAGCACAAAGAAACAACAGCTGTATACCTGGACAAGTCAGTGAGCATATCCTTTTCCTTAATTGAATGCCATTCTCATTTTAATTCAAATACTGTAAATGAGAAAACATAGGAAGAAAATGCAATGACAAGTTTGCATGATCAAATCTGTCTGCCGATCGCTTTTAATGTCTGGCTCTATTTTCTGGTAAGCAGGAGGGAATTAAACAACACTTCGAATTAAGCAGCTCATCTTTTCCAAGAAGAAAACCCCTACAGCTGAGGACTGTGCAGTACATTCAAGGAATGTTAAACTCCATAATTATATATGCTACATTCAGAAACTCTCTGATATCTTCCCATCTGGAAGTGACATGATTTGATGACTAAAAGGTTTCAGAAGATAGTGAATCACAGTTTTGTTTTGGGTTTGGTTTGTTTATCTATTTGAAAGCAGTGCCACTTTTGTTTGCATAAAATGTGCCATTATAACCCAGCTTTAAAATAACTTATTTGTACAGCTTCTCTAGCACTTCTTAACAGACTTCTGCATACTGAATCTGAATGGATTTAAAGAATGTGAAGTGCCCATTACATTCACAGCAGGGTTATATGGATTGAGAACTCTGGCCTTTATTTTTCCCATAGGACTGAAAAATATATCTGTTATTGAAGTGTTGCATTTTATGCTTTGATAACATCAACACATATCTCACTAGTACAATCCCAAGGTTGTGATAAAATACATTTTGTGTTTACATTGTGGCAAAGGTCGGCCAATTATGTACATTCGGTCACATAAAAGAATCTCCTGAGATTTGCTGTATAAAAGCAATCAACATCATTATTTAGCATGCACGTACTGTACAGAAACAGGCAATACTAAAGCAATTTATTGCTTCAAGAATTTTGTAGTGTCAAATCTAATCCACAGAAATTAGTTATCTTATGACACCTGCTAAATGTGAACTTTAAGGCTGAGACTAATATAAAGAGAAAATAGCCACAATACATTTTCAAAAAATAATTAATGTTCGACAGGACATGAGCCATTTTCAAATGACCTGTGTTTCATAAGCCTGGTTCTGTTGAGTAAAGCAAGGTCAGAATGAGGTGCAATTCTCAAATATACTGTACAGTGCCTTATAAAAGCATTCAGATTACTAAATGTCCAATTTTTAGAAATTACAGAATGATGCATACGCATTTTTTCAACGTATTATTTAATTGAAAACCTGAATGCTAAAACGGAAGACTGTTAAGGGTAAAATAAGTTACAGGACATATCAATAAACACTAAATAAAATAAACTGAAATACATTGTTTGCATAAATATTTAGATATGAGTACTCCATATTTAGTGGAAGCGCCTTTGGCAGTAATTACAGTTGCAAATGCTTTTGGGAACGTCTCTACCAACTTGTCGTGATTGGAAGTTTTAAAGTAAAAAAAATAAAACTGCTCAAGGGTCTCAATATGTTTCCAAGTCACTGTACCTGTAAATAAGCTACAGTAGTTAACTTTAAGTCAGTTCCTTCCAAAAGAGTAAGTTCCTACACAGTCAAGATGCACACCCACAGCAGCTTATTTTGAAGTACAATCTCATTTAAAATGGGAACAACGGGAAAGGATTCCTGTTTTATAGCTTTTGCATTATGCCTAGCAGTATTGTAATGGTTTCCCTGAAATTACAATAAGAACCTTTTCATCTCAGCTTAGTCTTGATTGCTTCCGGTAACGGTCACAAAGGCCGCATGATTACAAAGTATAATAACCAAAAGCAAGAGACTTGCATGAGAGTATAATTTCCCACTGATATTAAAAAGACAGCTACAGCAGAAGCACAAACCAATCCTGGTTATATATGAACCTGAGAAATATAGCCTCCTGGGGAATGGACTATATTGCTCCAATTCCTTAATGGCAACAGCATTGACACTATGACCATATTCTGCTACTGAATGGTCTCTCATCAAAAAAGGGACCACAAAAATAGCTACACTGAACTGCATGCAGACAATGAGCTATGCATGTCTGCAAACAGCATTCTGGAGCTTTCTATTGAAATTTCCACAGAGATTATTTCTTTCTGTGTTGTGCAGCAGGCCATTAGTACATGTAGAACTTCAGAGTAGTGAAGAAAATGAACTTGAAGTAATAAGGTTGTGCATACAGTAGCTGGTGTGATTTTTTTTAAGTCAGTACTCATTAGAATGTGGTGCCTTGAGCCTTTTTGTTTAAAAGGGTTCATTAAAAACTCATCAAAGTCAGCAGGAAGCTGATCAGTTACCGTGATTATTACGCAATTACAGCACAATACTGTTAATCGACAAGCTCTATAACTGTTGCTATCCCTTACAAACAATATTCTCCCAGTCTCATGGAGAAAAAATATTAAGCTTAGTTCAGCAGGTGGACCATTACTTCCTGCTGGACCATCACTGTATATTCCACATCTTGGTATTTCTGTTTTGTAGAACATTGACTATAATTTTGATTCTTTATCACAAAAATACATCTGTCACTAACAAAAAATTTCAAATGAACATTTTGAAGAGAATGGAATAAATGAACATAGTAATCAAAGCAGTAAAACTGAACAAAATCACAAAAGTATTTTTTCTGCAATTGTACATAAGGCAATTTATTTTTTATCTCACCTGGCACAATGCAGACTAAAAACAGAATGCTCACACATCCCTCCAAATATTTAATGTCAGTAACAATGTTTAAATGCTTGATGTTGCTTCTACAAACATTCAAAATTGTTTTATCAATGTTATCTCAGTCTTTATGCCTTTGGTTTTAGGAGGGACTAAAACAGGCAGCCATTATAACTTCCACTTTTCCTCTGTTAAGCATGAGTTATATTTCTTTCATGATGCTTTTACTTTCACTGGAGGAAACAGAACTCTAATACCATTGCATTTTAAAGCCAAGAGTGAGTATTTACTCACGACTGCACAGCAAGACACAGCAATAACCGCATCATTAAGTTTGCCGATGACACCACTATAATAGGACTGATCAGTGATGATGACGAGTCCACTTACAGGGATGAAGTTGTACAGCTGCTTAGGTGGTGTCATAGCAATAACCTGGACTTGAACATAAAGAAAACGAAAGAGCTAATAGTGGACTTTCGGAGACACAGGCCACACACTCACAGCCCACTCAGTATTGATGGAACGGAAGTGGAAACAGTCACCAGCTTTAGGTTTTTGGGAATTCACATCTCTAAAGATCTAACCTGGACTGTGAACACTGACTCTATCATGAAGAAGGCTCAGCAGCGCCTTTATTTCTTGAGGTGCCTCAAGCGATGGGGGATGCCAACACATGTGTTGGTGAACTTCTACCGCTGCACTATCGAGAGCGTCCTCACCAACGGGATCACCGTGTGGTATGGCAAC